TTTCATTTTATTTCAAAGTGAGAAATATGGCGTTTGGGGAAAAAAGGCTTGACTCAGGTAGTTCTGAGCTCTGTGTCAGTTTGCTGATTCAGGCCCCAGTGCTATTTCTGGGATCTATCTTTTCATTCGTATCTCAAGGTTTTGGTAAGTAGACCAGCGTTGTTTACAGTACTTTTGTTTTTTACCTGGCTGCTTCCCAGAATGGTTTCAGGAATACCAGCAAGTGTGCACTGTCAAAGCTATATCCCCAGACTCCATGTGGTCAGTTCTGCCTGAGATAACCACCAACAGTCTCTAATGATGCATACTGTTGGCAGTGCTTCTGCCAGTGAGGGATGTTAATATCAGGAAGTAAAATAAAATCTGCTTGGCAAACATTGTAAAGAAAGTGAGTTATGTGCTAATGTGTTTGCACCACTTACTCCTCTCTCAGGCTTTATAATCGAGTTTTATTGTTTAAATATTGGTTGTTAACACATAGTTAAGTTTATGCAAACTTAGGAGAAGCTTGAAACCTTAGAGCTGAAGTTGAAAGATGCCTGTGTGCTTGGTTCCTAGTCCATGCCTTTACTAGCAGAAAAATACTTGTCTGATCTCAGTTCCATTTCTGAGGTAAGAGGACTTCTGCCACAGACATTTCACCTTTAGGAGGGTTTCTCTAATACTCAATGTCATTTTCCCTGGAAGAAAACGACTGCAAAATTTAACAGCAATAACTGTAGAGAATATCATAGAAATTACATTTCTATACCTCCAGGACTGAATAGAGATTAATATAACTTCCACATTCTTCTCTAGGTATTTTATTGCATTTTATAGGAAGAATACAATTTTCTCTTAAATTATATGGGACAGTTTAAAGAACAAGGTTGTAATTTCCTTAACAAATGCTTTTAAGACCTTCCTATGATAGTTCCTGCTTTAAATGTCATCATTTTCTCTACAGCTTATTTAGGCAAGTGTGGTCATCCATATGTGACGAAACAAATTAAAAAGGGCATGTAATGATCCAGTTCTGAGTACTTGGGTAGATGGGGTTGCTTAATATATATATATCACACTTATTCCAAACTATCTGACACTTTTGGATGAATTGGGTGCAATATATTAACTCAATTACAATAGAAACATGGATCAAAGACTGTAGCTGGGAGGTCTTATTAAAGTATGAGACTTTATTAATGTCCCTGGCTTTGATTATACTGCATTAAAATGTCTGAAACTTCTTTTAGCTGTTTCATGTCCCCAGAGAAGAAAATTCTACACGGAACTGTAGGTTCACGTTTTCAGACCTTGTTTTTCAATTCTGTTGAAGTGGAATTATCATAAATTGGTAAGAAAACCAAAGACATTTTTTATCCATTTTTGATGCTGTACATACATTGTTACTGGCTTCAATTTACTACCTTTTTCTTTTGTTTGTGGACTCGACTCATTCACATGGAGTAAACCATCTTGGAAAGACTTCAGGTTTTTGAAGGAAATAATTAAAAAACTTGTCTTTCCTCTATTTCATAGAATCATAGAATGGTTTGGATTGGAAGGGATCTTAAAAATAATCTAGTTCCAACCCCCCTGCTATGGGCAGGGGCATCTGCCATGTAAAAATAAATATAAATATATAAAGAAGTAAAAATGTTTCAGAAATTATTAGTACATGGGATGGGATGAAAACACATAGAAAGGTACAACTCCTGGTTTTCCACTTCGCAGGCCAGAGCTAGTTTTCAAAGGAAAAGTGTTAATGAAAAGCAGTTACAGTGTGCTGTGGTGCTCAACTGATCTATTTCTACTTCTAGAGCCAAGAAGCAGAATATGCATGTATGCTGAGCTCTACCATCAGTGATAATAGCCCTCCAAATTGGAAACAATCATTGAAAGACACCTAGCAGACATTCTCTGGCACATAATAACAAGATTGAGATAAAAATCACTTTTCTTAATTCGTTTACTTTCCTGTTGCTACACATCATGTCAACACTTGTTTGTAATTATATTAATACGGTAAGTGAAGCACCCCCTGTTGTGCCACATGAACAGGAAAAATGTTGCATTTTGTCAACTTGCATGTGCATTAGATTTTGTGCTTGGTATTGATACAGAGCTGTTTAATCTCTCAGCCACTGCAAGGGCAGATTCCAGTGTTGTCCCTGCTTTTGTTGTGAGGATTCCCCTTCCACAGGAATTAGGCTTTCAAGGTACACAGCTTGGCATGAACTTGAAGAAATTAATTCAGTAAGTACAGTGATTTCAGGTTGTACTGTGTATGCCTCTTTGTATTACAGTGAGAATAAAACACAGAGCACGCATTTCTACCATGAGTAAACTACCATTTTAAGAGCAGTGATGGTCTCTCTCTTCAGTTACAGGTTTTACAGATCTCACCACAGGTATGGAAAGGCTCAGAATGAGATAGCAAGGAAGTAGTTTATTGCAAGCAAACACAGAATAGTTCCATTAATTTATGGATTGTTTCAGAGATTCTGAAAGGCTCTGCTAATGCTGCCTATTAAGATAGAGAAGATGGGGAGGAGAGAAAATCAATCTCATTTCTCAATCTATTTAAGTGAACAAAGAATTGCGTGTGAAACCGAACAGAGCTAGTCAACAAAGCTCACACCAAACAAAAAAAGAAAAGCAGCTTTATTTTGCATAATGATGTCTGAATCACAGTAGATTTGACAGAACGTGTTCCATCCTAAGCCCTGAGGTCTTATTTAGGTGGAGCACACTATCAAATATAATGGCTGCAATGTGCTCTTTCTGGGCTAATCTAGTGTCTCATGGGATATTATGCAAGGGGACAACACACACACTTGTACTGCTTTATATTCAGTCATTATATTCAGGCTTATTCCATACATCTGTTGAAAGCTATGATGGCGCACTGTCACATAGCTCCAGGTTTGTTTCTTCCGGGGTGGCTTCCTTATCTCTAAAATAGAAATGAAGTAAGAAATATTAATGTTTTTCTGTATGAGAGAGATAACTTTGAACCCATGGATACTTGTAAATGCCTTCAGAGGATATTTCACAAGTGCCCAGTGCTATAAATTATGGTTTTATACGATACTTTACTAGCATAGTATTAGGGGGTTTGTCCCATAGACTTTATGGATGTCTCTGTACCTTGATATAATGCAGGCTCATGGTAAAGTTCTCATGAGCAGTATTACCTGTGCAATTTGAACACAAAACTTTCTAGAAAGGAATTGAGCTACAACCTGTTTTCTGCAGCAGGGTAAGCTCTTCCAAATTTTGCTTTCCTCATTGAAGGTAAGAATCTAGAAATACTGTGACCAAGGATCTCTGAAATCACCACAATGCTTTACCTGAATGGAAATAAACTGTATTTACAAAATTACTAATACTAACACAGTCTTCTAGTATTAGCAGGGTAAAGGCCTTAAGAATTAAGATTGCCTGCTGAGTATCCAGAACTTCACACCATCAGAAGGCACTAAAATAGCGAGATGCTTAGAAAAACAGCTCAACTTCTGATGGGCAAAACCACAATAAATCAAAGATAAAGTCAACTTTCTAGATAAGGAGGAGCGTTTAATGCTACTCTGATTAAACTCATCTATAGGAAATGAGTAAACACGGCTTTCATGCTTTCTCCATCTTTCTGCCAATTTACATCTTAATGGCTAAACTATTCCAGGTTACTTAATTCAGCAAAGCATGCCGTTCATTTGCAACTTTTCATTTTGAATGCTTCCATTAACTTCTGCAGGGCTGTTCAGGGCAACTGAGCACAGACATGGGGAGGCAGTTAAAAATTAACAGGCCTTTGCAGCATTCCAGGGTTTGAAAGCTATCAAAATTATTTCATCGGTATTATGTACACACTACACGACTGCTGCAGTTATTACACTGGTGGCTTTTCACAGGCCTTGCAATTTGTTTGTTCTTTGATACTGGGGCTTTTTTCCTCTTAAAGACCTGAGATTATGAGAAAAATCTCAGATTTCATTGAAAGTGTATTTTTGGTCCTTGTGTCTGTAATGGAAAATCTTACAATGTGAGCCGAGTTACAAAGGATCAGCTGTTCAGTTGCACTACTTAGTTTGAACGTGGGCACAGTGTGAGGTAAACCGTGGGTTTTAGAGGGATACAATTCAATTCTTATACTCCACATGGAGCCCAGAATGACCTGTCTCTGAATTCCTAGATATTTTTTTTTTAAAGAACTCAGAGAGTTCTTACATTTTCTGTTTAATTCCTGGTAATCAGTATTATTAAGAAAGGACTGAGATGTTTCTGTATAGCACCACCCATCTTGCAGTCAGACATATTTAATGTATTTGTAATGTGAAGGTGACAATATAGCTCCTTTAACCCCCTCTAAAAAGCTCTAGGGCTCACATCACAGCTGACCGAGCTGAACACCAGTCCCATGTCAGTGCATGCGTTGGTCCTGGGGTCTCACAGAAATGGCACTCCTGAATCCCAAAAGAAGGATGCTTTGGAGGTGTACAGGCTTGTTGGGCTCCGTCCCACTTCCATCTCCTAGGGGACATCCCCCCTTGGGGAAGAAGGGATGTTACCGTTCGGGGACAAAAGGGATGGTGTTAATGTCATCCAAAGGTTCCTCTCCTGCATCCCGCAGTGGTGCCTTTACTTTTGGGTGCCGGTAGGCTGCACCCCAGCCGCTCCCCCTCAGCTCCAGAGCTGGCAGGCGGCAGCACCGACACCAACGTCCCAACCAGCACCCGGGGCCTCATCACAGACCTCCCTGCAGGGAGCTCGCACCCCATGAGGAGCCGCGCACACCGGGTCCGCGGGTTCGAACCCCGAGGGGAGCATCCGGTTCGGGACCGGGTACGAAAGACTCGTTTCCCCGGTGCTCGCAGGGGGTATTCCCGCCTGGGCTCCGGCGGACACGGTCCCAGCGCACATGTGCGGCCGCCCGGCACATGCTCACTGTGCGCGGCGCATGAGCAGACGCGGCGCGGGGCCATCGGACATCTTGGGCCGCCCCGCGCAGAGCGGGGAGCGCCGCCGCCGGGACCCGGGGCGGGAGCGCCCGCCGCCGTCCCCGCGTCTCCCGCCCGCCCGCCCCGGCGCCGGCTGCCTTCCCCTCCCCCGGGGTGCTCAGAGCATCCCTCCTCCCCTCTTGCATTTGTCTTAATTCTTCTCAGAGACAAGATGGCAACGCCGGCGGCGGTAAACCCTCCCGGTGAGTAGCGGCTGCTGCCGTCGCCCCCTGCGCTGCAGGCAGTCCGTCTCGCCCCATGTGGCCCCGCCGCACAACACGCCTCCCCCTGCCGTAGGCACACACCCGCCCCTGGGCACGGCGCGGTTCCCGCATCCATGAGAGCGGGCATTCCCCGCCGCTCTTCCCCGCGCCCTGGGCTCGTCCCGCCGGTCGGAGCGGCCGGAGGGGGCGCGGCGCCGGTGGCGGGGAGAGCCGGGCCGCCCGCGGCGACGAGCCGTGCTGGGAGCTACCTCCTCGCTGCCTCCTCGCACTCGGGGCTGTTGCCGTGGGGTGTAGGCGCTGTAGAAGTGAACAGTCACATAAGCATACGCGGTCATACGATAGGAAATAGAGGACGCGGTGCCCAGCCGAAGACGGGCGGGAAGGGTGGCAGCGGGTGCCAGATGTACTGTGCAGACCCGTGTCTACCCTGGGAACTGGTAGGGATAATGGCTTTTCCTGCCTGTACATTGGCCTGGTTTATTGTTGGGAAGCAAAACCATCTTGAATGAAGGTGTCGAAACTGACCAAGGGCACTATAGCGTGTTTGTATTTTTTGCTATGTGTTTATTTTCTCACCAAAGGATGCAATAAATACTTTGTTACTACAGCATTTAGGAGGGGAAGAAATTTACCAACATTTTCTCTTTGAGATTTTCATGAGAGAATACATTTGATGTTGCCTTACGTGTCTGTGAGGTGCAACATCAATTTTGTTGATTGCGTGATGGCGTGAAATAGGTTTGGATGGCATGCCGTAGTACGTGTTTTGGTGAGGTACGTGAATGAACTTAGTTTTGGATCAACAAGTTTCTGATGTTAAAAACAAGTGGGACAACGGATATTGCACTGGGCTCAGTACTAATGAAGAATGTTTTTATGAAAGTTGGAGTCCGTTTGCTTGTTTTAGTATGTGATAACATGTTGTTTTTTTTTGTAGGGGCAGGTTCAGTTCTAACAGTTAAGGGCTTGCTTAAGTAAATGCCAATGTTTAAAAAGGTTGTTTTTTAGATTAAATCGTGCTGTAGTTGGTCATGCGGTTGTCATACTGAAAGTAAATATTATGATATAAGCAATTTGGTTCAGTAAGTGTCAATAAAGTAAGCAGGAGCAGATCTTTGCCAATCAGATTAAGTTTTAATATCAGAGTTGTACATATTAAATGAAAATCAATATTTAATGGGAGGCTATTAAATGAATATTATTTAGCTTCCGGGATACCACGTTGTGCATTATAATGGTCATTGTGTGTAGACATGGGTAGAATCAGTGAGCTGTTGTGGACAAAGTAGGATACAAACAGCCCTTTTTGACTTTGGTTTGGTTTGCCATTCTCCTGCCTGTTCTTCCAAGCTATGCACTGAAGGAGCAGCCCTGATCACTCAGAGGTTTACATGAAACCACTGAATTACAGTGGAGCCCAGCGGCCCTTTTGCACCAACCATTTCTGCTCTGTTTTCACTTGCCTGCAGCTGAAGCCACAGGAAGATGTGGTTGCAGGAGGTACCATATGCATATGCCACAGAGCAGCCTCAGAGTAGGGCTTCACACTTGTTCTCCTGTGACCAGTATGTGAATTTAGAGAGTGTTATGGGATTATTGTACAAACAAAAAATATGAGGGAGATGAGAGCTAAGTGTGTGGCTCTGTGCATCTCTGTGTAGCGACCTGGTTCAGTTAAAGTTGACTGGCTGTGTGGTCCTCAGACTCTCTTTTAAGCACGGATTGCCAGTCCACAGGAAGGATGAGGAAATGTGTTGGTTTCCTGAAATGAACTGATACTTCTACAAGGCAGAGGTTACAGAGCATCATTTGACCCCATCTAGGCAGCTGGAACAGATTTGATCTGAAAGACAAACTTGCTGGTTGCTAATGATCCTCCCATGTTTTCTGTGAATGAGTGTTGCTGTCAGACAGATGTAGCTATGCATGGACAAAGTCAAAATGAGGAGTTTTTGAGCTATGAAAAGGTGAGGAGGCCTTTGATCTGTAGAGTAGTGCTGTGTTTGCTCTACCACAGACAGCAGAAGATAGAGCTGCATGAAATACCTTGATTTATGCTGTATTTTTTAAAAGCCATAAACTGTTGCTTTTGTTATTATTTTTTTTTAGATTAACAGCAAAGCAATGTAGAGAAACAATCAAAAGCTGTAGTGAGAGGATTTTAATACAGCTATTTCATCTTGGGGCCAGATCCTCAGCTGGAGTAATGTGAGAGTAGTCCTATTGGTATTGGTGAAGCTGTGCCATCTTATGCCAGTTGGCTTTCTGATCTGCAATGTTAGGGAGAGATTAACTTGTTAAGCATCTTTAATGATGATTAGAAATTACAATATGATTAAATTTTTATTAAGCAATTGTCTGGGGTTCTAATAACAGTTGATAATTTAGGCAGGACATTAGCTTGCAGCTACCACAATACAAATACATGTGATTTTAGTCATATTCCAGATAGTAGAATGGGGATTAGCAGAGACAGAAAAGTTGGGTGTTCTGTAATTCTGGGTATGAGAGTCTTTCAATGTAGGATCTCCTGGTACAGAGCCACGCATTACTCTACAGGAGCATCTCGCTTGTGTTAGATGCAGATTTGTCCATTTTCCTACTAATAATGGAGAGTTTGAGTTATGAAAGTTCACAGGAGTGGGAGCAGTTTGCAGCCCATCCTGGCTACGGCTCATGGGAATTGCAGCGTTGGGGACCAAATTGTAGTGGGGATAAGACCACCTCAGTGGGCTTCTTGGGCTGTCTTAGATCTAAACTGATAGTTCTTCTTTTGTAAAGGTAGTTGTCCATAGCTGCAACTAGACATTGCACTAATGAAACTGGGGGGCTCTGTGAGATAGTCCTCTTTCTTCCTCTTTCTGCATCCTTAGCCTTGGGAATGGGATCTGTTTAGAAGTACTTTGTTCGTTTGTCGAAATCTGGATGACTAACTGAAGTGTGAAACACAATACAGGTGTGTGGGAAGCTAATCTGCATTGGCACAAAGCATCAGAGTTAATTTATTTCCTCCTGAAATAAGATTGGCATATTAAATGGGATTTAAGAACAAAAAAAATGTGGAGGTGTAACAAGCATTTCATAAATTACTGCTTGCAGAGAAGTAACTTAGTGCCATGTCTGTTTTAAACGTATGTATTTTTGGAATGCAAACTTGTCCATAACTCTTGCTACTTTGGGGTCAACTTTTGCTTTACTTGAGTGCAGTACATGATGTGGTGATTCTTGTATTAGCCAAGTTAGGATGAAAACATAAAACTCATTAGAAATACAATATTTTCTTTTCCTGAGGTGTTACTTGGTCTTGGGTGATGAGTTCCAGTCTGGCTCAGTCTGATGGATGATCCCAGAGCAGCAACTTCCTGCTGCAGTCAGGTGATGTGAAATGAACTGGTTGTGTCCTTTCAGTTCTTCCTAGTGAGGTATCCCTAGATGGAAGTGCCATCCTGGGCAGTACCCACAGACATATTGCCAAATGCCACAAACTCTTTAGTCAAAAGAAATCATGAGATACCTGAGTTTACCTAGTGTTTCACCAGAGGGCAGATCCTTTAGGATGCATTTTTTACTATGTTTTGTTTGTGAAACCTTAGGATTGTATTTTTACATTGAATTGAAAAAAAGTAAATGCATTGTTCACATCATCCATAAAGCTCCTTTAATGATTTCTTTTTTAAGCAAAGAGCCCAAAGTCTAAAGGTCTGGAGAACAGCGTGTCCCCAGAAGGGCATCCACTAGAGATGTATTGAGACAGAGGGAAGTGGTGGGCTATGAGAGGAAGGAGTTTCAGTGGTTTAAGATGTAACTGTTGTAGCCAGTAGCTGATGGGGGGTACTTCAGCCTGTGGCTAATCAAAGATATATAAAAAAAAAAAATGGGGTTGAACCTTGAAGAAAGATAATTAAATAAATCTCATTACTTTTAGCCTCTCATGAGTTAACAGCAAATTTTATGTCATATCAGTGAAAACTTGTAACTCAGCTCTTTAGGAAAGTGTATTGGTTTCTGGGAGTTGGTTTTATTTCTATGTGTTTGTTTGACTTGGGAGGTAGGTGGAGAGAATCATTCTCCCATTTCAGCTGGGCATTCTGAGAACGAAATCATCCATTAGCCAGTCTTACGTTTGCATTCAAGTTCCTAAGATACTAAGTGCTGTGGAGAAATCTTCCTGATGCACGTTCCATATTCCCAAACAGAATTGGCTTTCTGAGGCTGACAGTCTGGCCATTCTTCTCTGTAGTTTCCATACAGCTTTGAAATTGATGATTAAAAAAATCTGCCTCAGTGTTTTAGATTTCAAAATTGTCAGGTCGACTCAGAGCTTTGCTCTTCATTACAATATAAACTATCCAGTAAACTCCAAAATCAATTTATCAGCATCCTGAGGAGTAAATGGTGTATTTTAGTGATGAGTATATAAAGAACTCTGATGTTTCTAGGATGCAGAAAAGTAGTCTCCTTTCTAAAATAAAGTTAAAATAAAGGTCTCAAAAATGGAACACTCATTAGCTAATGGGAGGTTTAAATTGCAGATCTCATGTTTATATATATTTCTGACTGCAGAGTTGTTTCTTATTTCAGTTAAACTGTGGTATGAGAAGATAGTGCCTCTTGAATTGTTTTGTGATAATGTTTTGTCCGTCAGGACTATGTATCAAACAGTAACTTGAAGAAATGTTAGTTTTTGATATTTCTAATATTCAGGGCGTGCACAAGATTTTGTTTCAGGATATCTCTTCTATCACAAAATACTTTTTTAAAATTTGCAGGTATAGCTTGTGGTTGGTTCCAAATAGACTAATATTTCCCCATGCCTTTTAGTAAAAATTCAAAACAAACCAGATATAGCTGAATTTTGTAATACCAAATGGTATTGCTGAGTTTTCTTTGCAGTAAGGAAAAAAAATACTGTAGAGATTAGGTAGTGAAGGAAAAAAATAGTCTTTTCAAAACAGTCAAGGCAAAATAACACTGTTGAT